GCTCATCCGTGATTTGTTCGCCTTGGACCATCATGGTAGCTAAAACCGATTATTTTGCCGCAACGGATAAGCTAGAAGCTGGCGCTAGGACTACTAAAACGGATTGCGCGTTGGCTACTATCAAGGATAATATGATTCGCTTATCTCCGCAAGATGCAGTAATGGGTCGGTTTGGGTTCACCATACTTTACATTTTCCCGCCTCCCGAACCTTCAAGTACCCGCGAGTCCCCCCCTCCCGAACCTCGAAGAGTTACCAGCCGAACGTATGCACCACTTGCCGAATCAGATAGGACTTCCGAACCTATTTATGCTGAAGCTGTAATGTCTTCCGAGGCACATAATATGCTCGCCGAGACAGCCGAGAAGTCGATGAATAAACCGTACGATTTGTATCGACTTCGCGCGTCATTCATGGATCTAATTGAGCAAGATTACCCCATTATGCTGGGCAGATTGCACGTTGATCCTGTAACGGGCGTAGCGAGTGTGCTACAAACGAGGGAATGCCTCGCTGCAGGCGCGAAAGCAATCAGATTCGATCAAATTTCAAATGTATTCTTATCAGAGTCCGAACCTGCAAATCAGTCCCCCCCTCTCACAACCACCGAAGCCATGACCTCCCTCCCAATGTCGCTCATGCCGGAGCGCGATCGGACGGAGTTAATCTCCATTAAGGCTACTATTCTAGCGGATGGCGGGATGACTATCGGTGTAAATGTTAGTCACTGTCTGATGGACGGAGAGGGAATGTTTACATTCATGATGTGGGGGATGCGGTACAGAGGGGTGAGGAGTGGTACAGAGCAGCAGCAGGTGATTTGTCATGACAGGTCGTTGCTGTTTGGGAAGGGTGTTGGGTCCAAGCTGCCTCATCCAGAGTTGAAGGTTCTAGAATCTTCTGCAAAATCCGCACATGCAGCAGCAGCAGCAGCAGCAGCATTGACGGCAGCAGCTACAGAAACAGCAGCATCACATGCATCAGCAGCAACGTCAGAAGCAGTTGCAGCAACACCAGCAGTTTCAAAAGCAGCAGAAGCAGCAGCAACAGCAGCAGCACCAGCAGTAAAGCGTGTGTTTCCTGCAACCTCGCATTCCATCTTCCACCTCACCTCAAACCAGCTCAAAGCACTCAGAACCGTTGCATCTGGGCCGTTGGATGGCTCCAGTGCATCAGAGCCGTCTGATCCCAGATCAGAAGACCATCCGACAAATCACGACCCTCAAGGACCCACATACGTCAGCACTATTGACTCCGTGTCAGCACTCATGCTCCTCCTAATCTCGCAAGCCAGATGCCATAATAAAGACGTCCGTTTCACCACTGGTGTCAATGCCAGGAGGAGATTAATCCCTCCGCTGCCCGAAAGTTACTGCGGAAATGTTGTTTTCAATGCCTTGTCTTGTTATTCAGCTTCAGAACTTAGTGAGACAACAGCTGCTGCACTGCGCCTAATCGCGCAGAAAATCTGGCGATCCATTATAAGCTGCTCCGATGCTTACATGTGCGGCGCCATAGAATTCCTCGCAGAGCAAAAAAACCTCTCCTCCGTGCGAGTCGGGACGCATTTTTTCTCCGGGGATGACATCATGCTGGCGTCATGGGTGCATATGGGCATGTATGATGCAGATTTTGGCGCCCGGCCGTGGTATGTGGGTTTGCCGAGACTCCCATGCAATGATGGCATGGTGGTGGTGATGGAAGGGATTGGGGGAGCAGAGGGGCTGGATGTGCTGCTGCTGCTGGAAGCTTCAGCTTCAGAGCGGTTCAAAAGGTTATGGGATGAGGTTCCGTTCTGGCAGTGGTGTAGGGTCTAGTATGAGCCTACACCGTGGTTCATGGTCTGGTTCGAAGCCAGGCCATGGTATGTGGGGGTGCCGAGACTCCCATGCAATGATGGCATGGTGGTGGTGATGGAAGGGATTGGGGGAGCAGAGGGGCTGGATGTGCTGCTGCTGCTGGAATCTGCAGTTTCAGAGCGCTTCAAGAGGTTGTGGGATGAGGTTCCGTTCTGGCAGTGATATGGCAAAAGACAGTGATATGATCCCATATGGTACGTGGGTTTGCCGAGACTCCCATGCAATGATGGCATGGTGGTGGTGATGGAAGGGATTGGGGGAGCAGAGGGGCTGGATGTGCTGCTGCTGCTGGAATCTGCAGCTTCAGAGCGGTTCAAGCAGTTATGGAATGAGGTTCCATTTTGGCAGTTGCAAAAGAGTCTGATGTAAATAGGCTTTTACAGGATGATGGGGACTTGAGCAGCGTCGACCTTACACATGGCGGTTGAGGGGGGGAGCACAGGGGCTAGACGTGCTGCTGCTGCTTGAATCTGGAGCAACAGAGCGGTTCAAGGAATTATGGAATGAAATTCCGTTGTCGCAGTAATATAGCGAGTCTGGTGTATGTATATAGGCTTGTATAGGTTCTGCTCTGGGGTTGAGAGAGGCTGTGGAATGAGGTTCCGTTGTGACAGTAATATAGCAAGAGTCTGGTGTATGTATGTACCGCTAGGCTTTTATACCTTAGTAGGATGCAGACTAGGTCATGGGAGTGGGGTATACAAGCCCTACAGTGTGGCTCATGGGGGTTGGGGCAGCGGGGGGGCTAGACGTGCGGCTGCTCCTTGAGGCTGCAGTGCAGCCTCAGAGCTGTGGTTACATAATGAGGTTCCGTTGGGCAGTGATACGTCTTTGAGAATTCTCAAAAACCAGTCCGTTGGGCAGTGATATCTCAAACAAGTACCGTACTGGATCGTACACGCCATTCTTGTGGTAGACTGGTGAGTGTGGTCTCGCTTAGTGTAATGTAAACTTGGGCGGCCGGCAGGCATAGACGCTACATCTTTTCTTCCTGGGGGTTTTCTTGTTCCAGTCCTGAACCAAGGCTTGGATAATGGTGGTGAAGTATCATGGAATGGAATCAAGGTTAATGTTTCAAATATGGTACCTATGGTGACCCTTATTTTCACCTGCCATTTTTATTTTCACTCTGAAGGCACATTGGTCGGAAAATGCCTAGCCCGGGCTGTGTTAAAATAACCAGTATTGGCAGAAAAACAGCTCTGTACTCTCTCTTTGAGTCGCTCGCCATCTTTTAGCGAGAAAAAACAGGTTGGAGCTCCCAAGGTCCCCTTCCTCTGCCCCCTCCCCTATCCCCCCGTTACTCGGCAATGTGGTAGCGCGCACCCCTCAGGTTGCGGCGAAGGTCCTCATAGCGCTTAATATCCTGCCACATACAGTGCGGTACAGTACAGTGCAATATTGTTGAATGTGATATAGTTCAATGGAGTAGATGTGCTACAGTTTGTTGATTGAGCACCAACAGGCATACGGACTAGCGGATTCATCCACCATTTGTCGAACCACAAACCCACAAGCCCACAAGCCCACAGATTCATAACAACGAACACGCCTACAAGCTCACAAGACCACAAGCCCACCTGAGGAGAGACCGAAGGCACAATTCGGGTCAGTGCCTTCTTGAAATGCCGAGCCTCCACTACAGGTCCGGGCCGAGCCTGCAGCCCCATGCCCAACACGCCAGCAGGAGTGGCAGGAGCCACAGCAGTTGCCGCAGCAACAGGATGAGGAGCAAACCCAGCAGCAGAAGTAGGCGCGACAGTGGCAGCAGCAGCAGCAGCAGGAAGAAGATGAGCTGATTCCGCATCTGTGCGTCGAATGGACATGCGCTCTCGCAGTGCCGTAACACAGGCCTCTCGCACCTGCACGTGTAGATAGAACACATGAAGGAGGAAGGGTGGCGAAAACTGCAATGAGGAAGGGCGGGCAAACGGGGCATGTCATAGCAAGATGTCGCAGAGTTTAATTTCTAAATGTTATGACTGCTGTGGGTTTTTAGAATCACATAGGCGGAGATGTAATGATAGCTGCAGAAGAGTTGACTTTTGAGTCGACTCAAAAGTCAACTCGCTGTAATGATAGCTGCAGAAGAGCAAAGGGAGGGAAAGATTTGCTATCACCATCAAGTATGTCAACTACACTCGTCCCTCACACAGGTCAAGTAAGTCAACTACACTCGTCCCTCACACAGGTCAAGTATGTCAACTACACACGTCCCTCACACAGGTCAAGTATGTCAACTACACTCGTCCCTCACACAGGTCAAGTAAGTCAACTACACTCGTCCCTCACACAGGTCAAGTATGTCAACTACACACGTCCCTCACACAGGTCAAGTAAGTCAACTACACACGTCCCTCACACAGGTCAAGTATGTCAACTACACTCGTCCCTCACACAGGTCAAGTAAGTCAACTACACTCGTCCCTCACACAGGTCAAGTAAGTCAACTACACACGTCCCTCACACAGGTCAAGTATGTCAACTACACTCGTCCCTCACACAGGTCAAGTATGTCAACTACACTCGTCCCTCACACAGGTCAAGTATGTCAACTACACTCGTCCCTCACACAGGTCAAGTAAGTCAACTACACTCGTCCCTCACACAGGTCAAGTATGTCAACTACACACGTCCCTCACACAGGTCAAGTAAGTCAACTACACACGTCCCTCACAGGTCAAGTAAGTCAACTACACACGTCCCTCACACAGGTCAAGTAAGTCAACTACACTCGTCCCTCACACAGGTCAAGTATGTCAACTTGAGTCAACTTGAATCAGCACAGCGCTCAGCTCAAGTTTAAGGTAGTCAATGCCGGTTCTCTGATGCCAAACAAGTGAAGGCAAGGACCAGGTCCTTTGACCTGGTCAACCAGGTCAACCGGAGTCAACTCGTCAACGATGTTGAAATCGCTTTTGAGAATTCTCATAAGTGATTCCAACACAAGTGAATGCAGAATAAAGCAAGTCAACTAGGTCAACTGGAGTCAACTCATCAATGATGCCACGTCAGCAGCAAATAAGTCAACTGGAGTCAACCACCAGCACCGCCAGGTCAGTGGTAAGAAGCAAGTCAACCAAGCCAACGAAATTCAACGCATTAGCAGTTCCAGGTCAGCAGCAAGAAAGTCAACGGAAGTCAACTCACCAGAGCTGCCAGGTCAGCGCCACTGAATCCATCACAGGGGGCCTTGCGTCCTCTAGCCGCCCCTGGAAGCTTCCCTCCCCCCTTCCTATCCCTTGCTTTCTGCACCTCCAATGGGACTACACTTGAATCTTCCCCAGTCTGCTCCCTCCCTCCTCCTTCCCTCCCTCCTGTATAACTCCCATCTATTTCTCCTCCCCCTCCACCTGCTGATCCTCCTCCTCTCTGCTCCACACTACCAGTCTTCTTGTCTCCTGCTCCTTCTCCCACTGCTGCCCCTGTCTCACCTGCGGCTCCCTCTGTCACTGCTGCTGCTGCTGCTGTTGCCGATGCCCCACCGTCCCCAACCCCTGCCAGCTCACTCATAAGCTCAACATTTACGTCTTCTGCCCGGGGAATCGAGCGAATGAGAGTGCACAGAATGGCTGCCCGAGACGGCGCGTCGGGCAGCGGAATGAAAAGAAGCTTGTCGAGCCGACCCGGGCGGAGAAGTGCTGGGTCGATCATGTCAGGTCTGGGGAAGAGAGGGAAGGGCGGGGTGGAAGAAAGAAACAATTTCCGATAAAAACAGTGCAAGCGGAGGAGAGCCGGGTTGATCATGTCAGGTCTGGGGAAGAAAGTAGGGAGGTTCGGAGGGTGGGAGGAGGGAGGGAGGAGGGAGGGAGGAGGGAGGGAGGAGGGAGGGAAACAATTGAGGATTCTGAGAAGGGAGGGGGAACGACTAGAAGCTTGTCGAGGCGACCAGGGAGGAGGAGAGCTGGGTCGATCATGTCAGGTCTGGGGAAAGGGAGGGAGGGAGGGAAACAATTGAGGATTCTCAAAAGGGAGGGGAACGACTAGAAGCTTGTCGAGGCGACCGGGGAGGAGGAGAGCTGGGTCGATCATGTCAGGCCTGAGGGGTGTGTGAGTGAGGGGGGTACGGGAGTGAAGGGGGAGGGGGGGGGAGGGGGGGGGGTATTGGCAGCATCACAACGACTGGGGCGGAGGAGGGCCGGTTCGATCAGTTGCCTGACCGTGGCAGATGAGCAAATGGGGGGAGGGGAGGGAAGGGAAAGTGGGGTGGTGAGGGAAGGGGAAAGTGGGGAGGTGAGGGAAGGGGAAAGTGGGGAGGTGAGGGAAGGGAGTGGGGACTAGAATGAAAGTAGACTCTTGGAAGGGAGGAGTGCTGGGTTGAAATTTCAGGAAGAGGAAGAAGAAGAAGGCGTTAGGAGAGGCGAGCGGAAGGGATTATGGCGACGAGTGTTGGATTGATCATGTTTAAATGACGATGATCACTCCACTCCTCCACTCCTCCACTCCTCCACTCCTCTCATTACCTACACTACACACTCGTGCACACCCCCCTACCTAGATGCGGCAGATCTGATGACGTAGACGCTCTTGCAAGTCACTTATGAGATTTTGAGACGTCTCAAAATACAACTTTCATCTTGCAAGTCACTTATGAGATTTTGAGACGTCTCAAAATACAACTTTCATCTTGCAAGTCACTTATGAGATTTTCCAAGAGTGGATCTTGCAAGTCACTTATGAGATTTTCCAAGAGTGGATCTTGCAAGCCCCAAGCCACACAAATCCATCCACCCCCCATCCTCCCCTCCCCTCTCTCCCCCATCCCTTCCTCCCCCACTTTTCACTTACACATAGTGCACCACACACACCCATCTAACCGCACAGCACAGCACAGCACAGCACCGCACCGCACAGCACACACCTGTTGGTGGCAGCGATGATGTAGACGCTCTTGCGTGACTCAAGCCCATCCATCTCCGTTAAAAGCTGTTCCCGCAACATGATAAGAAGCACAACAGCAACAAGCATGTCAGGCCCAAGCATTACTTGCGAACGAGAAAGAAACACGCTGGCAAAAGGGTACTGAAAAGACAAATCACACAATATTCCATGAGAACACGCACAAAGCGTTGTGGAATAGGAAAACACCTGGTTGACTCACCTTTACCTGCCACCTCACCTGGTTGACCTGCGTTGTTGACCTGCCACCTCACCTGGTTGACCTGCGTTGACCTGCCACCTCACCTGGTTGACCACTCTCTCTGCTGCTCCATTGCCATCCGACCCTCTCCTCGGAGCCATGGCGTCCATCTGCGGCGGTGGGGAGCGGTGAGGGGAGGTTGGGGGAGGAAGAGAGAGGTTGGAAGGGGTGGGGGGCGGGAGGCCATCAGCACCATCCCCATCTCTAGGAGCCATTGCCGTCCGACCCTCTCGGTGGAGTCATCGTGGCTTCTATCTGGGGAGGTGGGTTGGGGTAGGTAGGGGGAGGTGGGGAGAGGTGAAGAGGGGTGGGGATGGGCGACGACGCTGTTGCTTGCACAAGCAGCTGGCTGTGAAACGACCTTTAAGGTGCTTTCATACAATGTCCCTTGAGGAATTCATATTAATTTTCACTTCCTCGCCTCACTAAAGTAGAGCACACAGGGTGACAGACAATGCCCTTGCCCACACAATTTTCCCTTTGCGAATAAGGGTTCTCCCGACATGAGTTTGGATCCTTGGGCGACAATGCCCTTTCCCACACAAACAGCCACTCAGGAGGTGACATTTGGGTCGATACAAAACTCGCCCTTGCAAACAGGTAGCCATGAGTTGGCTTCTCAATACTCTGCTCCTCACCTCGTCAAAGAAGAGCACACAGGGCGACGATGCCCTTGCCCGCACAAACAGCCACCTCAGAAAGGCCCTTTTGAGTCGACCCCAAACTCGCCCTCACGAAACGACTTTTGAGTCGAGGTGACTTTTGAGTCGAGGTGACTTTTGAGTCGAGGTGACTTTTGAGTCGAGGTGACTTTTGAGTCGAGGTGACTTTTGAGTCGACTCAAAAGTCCCCTCACGAAACGACGTGCCTTGCTTAGAACCGAATTGTAACCTCACCTCGTCAAAGAAGAGCACGCAGGGCGACGACGACCTTGCTCGCACAAACCAAACAGCTTCCCATGCAATGCAACTCGCCCACACAAGCTGCTAGTCATGAGGTGACATAGCAGTCAGGGCCTCACCTCGTCAAAGAAGAGCACGCAGGGCGACGACGACCTTGCTCGCACAAACCAAACAGCTTCCCATGCAATGCAACTCGCCCACACAAGCTGCTAGTCATGAGGTGACATAGCAGTCAGGGCCTCACCTCGTCAAAGAAGAGCACGCAGGGCGACGATGCCCTCGCTCGCACAAACAGCTGGTCGAGAAACGACCCTTGGTGCTTTCATTCGATGCTCAAACAGGTGCCATTTTTTTTTTGAATTCTCAAAAAATTCCTGCTGTGTCTAAACTGGCTATTAGAAACATGTGCCTCAATACTCTTCTTCTCTCTCACCTCATCAAAGAAGAGCACACAGGGCGACGACGCCCTTGCCCGCACAAACAGCTGCCGCACCGACCGCTCGCTCTCCCCCACATACTTATTCAGGAGCTCAGGACCCTGGCGGGGTGGAGAGGGAAAGGAAGGAGGAAAGGAGCAAGGGTGGAGCGAGGAAGAGGAGAGAGATTTGGGGTGCCTTTGAACCAGCTTGCTCGCACCAACAGCTGCTGCACCGACCGCTCGCCCTCCCCCACATACTTGTTCAGGAGCTCTGGTCCCTGGAGTGGAGAGAGAGAGAAAAAGTAGGTTTTTTTTGAAGGTAACTGCCTCACTGACTGCTCGCTCTTCCCACTTTCTTGTTGAGAGTAGGGGACCCTGGCGGATTAGAAGAGAGGGGGAGAAATAGATCGTGGGGGCCGGAAGAGGACACAAGGGACGGAAAAGAAAGGATTTCTTTGGAATAGCTCCCTGGAACCTGGCTGTGGTGAAACAGAGGGACGAGGAGCATGGAGAGTGGAGGAGGGGGCGTGGTAAGCAGGAGAGCGACCTTTTGAGTCGGCAAGGAGAGGAGCCTCTATTTTGATCCTTCAGCCATGAGACGATTAAAACGCGAATCGTTTTTTGAGTCGACTCAAAACTCGACATGAGACGATTAAAACGCAAATCGTTTTTTGATTCGGCAAGGAGAGGCGCCTCTATTTTGAGCAGCTGCTGCAGTGCCTACCGCTCGCATTTGATCGAGCCATGACTCAATCAAATGCTTGATAGAGATGAAATTCGCTCCCGCATTGTTGGCGATCGCCTTGGCCGCCAGCGTCTTGCCGCACTTGTGAGGCACAGCTTCATCCCTGTAGCGCGCTTGTCCGAGGACCTGGTCAACTCAAAAGCACACACCCCCTACATAGCCATTCGTTGGCCCCATGCCCCCAGAGGGCCGCACGGGAAAATCCCTGTAGCCTGGTTTGAGGAATGCCTTCGCGTTTTGAGACGTCTCAAAACTGGTTTGAGGCATGCCCTCAACAGAATGCCGTGACTTGGTGGCATGCGGCGGGGCCGGGCATGACTCATGAGTGATAATCGCATCGCATACCTTGATGGAGATGAAATTGGCCCCGGCATCGTTGGCGATCGCCTTAGCCACCAGCGTCTTGCCGCACCCTGGCGGGCCGTAGAGGAGAATGCCCGTTGCTGCTCGGAGCCCCATGGCCTGGGGGACAAGGCAAGGCAGGTGGAGAGGAGAGGGAGTGAAAGAGATGAGGAGAATCGCCTTGACCACCAGCGCCTTGCCACACCCCAGAGGTGCGTAGAGGAGAATGCCCGTTGCTGCTCGGAGCCCCATGGCCTGGGGGACAAGGCAAGGCAGATGGAGAGGAGAGGGAGTGAAAGAGATGAGGAGAATCGCCTTGACCACCAGCGCCTTGCCACACCCCAGAGGTGCGTAGAGGAGAATGCCCATTGCTGCTCAGAGCCCCATGGCCTGCAGGACAGACACAGAGAGACAGAGGGGGCAAGAGAGGCAAGTGAGGAGAGAGTGGAAGAGGAGTGTCGCCTTGGCCACCAGAGTCTTGCCACAGCCTGGCGGGCCGTAGAGGAGAATGCCTGTTGCTGCCCGGAGGCCCATGGCCTGGGGAACAGACGGATAGACAGAAGGACACAGAGAGGAAAGTGAAGAGAGGGTGTTCGAGATGCGGAGGAGCGTCGCCTTGGCCACCAGAGTCTTGCCACACCCCGGAGGGCCGTAGAGGAGAATGCCCGTTGCTGCCCGGAGCCCCAAGGCCTGCGTGGAGGATGCAAGGAAACTGGGAGTCCCTTGGCCGGCAAAGGTGATTCCAGCAAAGGTGATTCCAGCAACCATGGGATGGGACTCCGCTTTTTGAGTTGACGAAAAAATCCCAGCTGCATGTCTGCCACGACTTTTGAGGCGCCTCAAAACGACTTTTGAGACGACTTTTGAGGCGCCTAAAAAATGGGACTCCTGGTTTTGAGTTGACAAATAAATCCCAGCTCCTAAAAAAACTGGCTCCATGTCTGCCACGACCAACTTGATGGGGCAAGAGATGGAAAACTCCAGCTCCTCCCTCACATCTGCCAGAGCCCCCACATCGTCCCAGGTGACTCCGGGAATGGTGGTGAAGCCCTCCCTCTCACCCACCTCATGATAACCAGCCAACGCACCTCGTACTCCTCGGGGTACTTGATGGGGCGAGAGATGGAGAACTCAAGCTCCTCTCTCACGTCTGCCAGTGCCCCCACGTCGTCCCAGGTGACCCCAGGGATGGTGGTGAATCCCTCCCTCTTGGCGCTCGGCTGTACCTTGGACACTGCTGCCTGCAGGGTAGAGAGGGGTGCAAAGCGGCAGAGAGTGGTAAGTGTGGTGAGAGGGAAAAAAAGGAGTTCATATTGTCTCCCAGGGCTGCAACCAGGTGACTCCAGAGACGGTGGCGGAGCCCCCCTTTTGAGACTTCTCAAAAGTAGACTCCAGAGACGGTGGCGAAGCCCCCCCTCTTGGCACTTGGCTGTACCTTCGCCACTGCTGCCTGCAGGAGAGAAATGAAGGGCGATGGACAGGGTGGAAGCCTGGTTGGATTGGTTAACAGAGGCGGAAAGAGACGGACGACGGAAAGCCAGTCCCTCCCTGCCACCAAGAAAGCCTCTCTCTACTGCCTCCCTGCACACACCTCTCAAAGTCCATGATGCTCAGCGCCTGCAGCTCCTCCCTAGGTGACCCATGGGTCGAATCAAAACAAATAATACGTGATAGGGTTGAGCACATGGGCGAACCTGGTTCGACCCATGCTCAACCCTAAATACAAGCATGGCATGGCTGTGTGTGCTTGGCATGCCTGTGTGTGCATGGCATGCCTGTGTGTGCATGGTACGCACAGAGCACGCACTATGCGTGTGCGCATGCATGCCACCATGCCACCATGCCTCCATGCCTCCATGCCACCATGCCACCATGCCTCCATGCCTCCATTTGTCTCTCTAACTCCACTCCACTCCACTCCACTCCACTCCACTCCACTCCACTCCACTCCACGCCACGCCACGCCACGCCACGCCACGCACCTCAAAGTCACCCATTGTGATGCTCAGCGCCTGCACCTCCTCCTAGGTGCATCACAGACCCTAGACCTTAAACCCCGAACCCTGAACCCTCTCTTTCTCTACTCCGACACCACGCACTTCAAAGTCCTCCATTGTGATGCTCAATGCGAGCAGCTCCTCCTCCCTAGGTGCATCACTCAGCAAGCACTCTCCCTGTGTGCATGCTACCATGTCTCTCTCTACTCTAACACCACGCACCTCAAAGTCCTCCATTGTGATGCTCAATGCGAGCAGCTCCTCCTCCTTCCACGGCTCCCTCCAATCCTCCCCTCCCCCTCCTCCTGCTATCCCCCTCTCCGCCTCCCCTCCCCCTCCTCTCTCCCTCCCCACCTCCTCGCCAACCTCGCCCAACTTTTCCCTTCCGTCCCCTTCCTCCACTCCCCCTTCTTTTTTCTCCGCGTCCCCTTCCTCTCCATCCACCAGCATACAATCACCACCTATTGCTGCTGCTTCTCCTGTTGCTGCTGCTGAAACACCTTCTGCCCCTTCCCTTACTCCTGTCACTTCCATTCCTCCTCCATCTACTCCTGTTCCTGCTGCAACCCCCAATCCCCCACCACCCACCAGCACCACTTCCTTACTCGTAAAAATCCTCTTCACCGCAATAGCCGCTGCTTCTTTCGCAAGAGCCGCAAGATCCGCCCCAACAAACCCTGGGGTACGCCGCGCAATAACCCCGAAATCAAACGATCCCTCCAGCCGAAGCTTCCTGGAAAGTACCTCCAGGATCCGGGCCCGCGCTGACTCATCGGGGATCCCCAGGGAGATCTCGCGATCAAATCTGCCCGCCCGCCTCAAAGCAGGATCCAATGAATCTGGACGGTTCGTTGCCCCTATCACAACCACATGTCCTTTCAATTTCCTCCTCCTCTCCTTCTCCCTCTCCTCCTGCTCCTTCTCCGTTTCCTCCATCCCTTTCTCCTCTCTCCCGTCCCCCCCCTTCTCCTCACCCTCTCCACCTGCTGACGTGTCAGGAGATGACTGGAGGTCGTCCAGACACGTCAGCAGCTGCGCAACAATCCGCCTCTCCATCTCCCGCTGAGCCGTCTCCCGCTTGGGGGTGATGGCATCGATCTCATCTATAAACAGAATCGCTGGGGCAGCCCTCTCGGCAGAGGCGAACAGGGACCGTAGCTTGGCCTCAGATTCACCTGGCAGTCTCAAGTAGGAAAACACGGAAAAAAGGACAGACGTGGATTGTCAGCAGCACATCTCCTGCTGAGCCGTCTCCCGCTTGGGGGTGATGGCATCGATCTCATCTATAAACAGAATGGCTGGGGCAGCCCTTTCGGCCGAGGCAAAGAGCGACCGTAGCTTGGCCTCTGATTCACCTGGTGAGATATAAAAGAGAAATAGACCAAAAAGGGAGGAATGGTCAACAGCAGCTATGCAACACATATGGCATCATTGACACGCGCGAGACGATTTCAGGAGCAGAGATGTTGAAGAACGGCACTCCCGCCTCTCTAGCAATGACATGTGCCAGCATGTGCCAGCATGTGCCAGCATGTGCCAGCAATGACATGTGCCAACATTGCCTTGCCACACCCAGGAGGGCCGTGGAGCAAAACTCCTCCTCTGCTGCTACTGCAATGGAAATCACCCATCCAGCTCCTTACCTGACATGCCCGAGACAATCTCTGGTGCAGCAATTTTGAAGAACGGCACTCCTGCTTCCCGTGCAATGGCATGTGCCAACATCGTCTTGCCACACCCAGGAGGCCCGTGGAGCAACACCCCTCTTGGAGGCTCGACGCCGAGCCAAGCATACAGCTCCGGATGCGCCAGCGGGTACAGAATCAGCTCCCGAACCTGCTCCACCACCCCGTCGATTCCTCCGAAATCTGCAAACCGGACCTCCCGAGGCGCGGCTCGGGCCGAGCCTCCATCTCCCGGACCTGCTTCGTCTGGGAAGATATCCGCCACACCCGAACCTCTTGCTCCGGATTTCTTCTTCCCTTTAGTGCCCACCCGCTTTATCCTGTCCCTCAAAAGATCTCTGCTGGTGTCCCCACCCTTACTTAACCCCACAGACTGCCTCTCTCGTTCCGACCCCCTTCCTCCCTCACTCACCCTCCCCCTTCCAGCCACCCTGTTCGTCCCCTCCTCTTCCCCATCCCCTCCTTCCTCCTCCACTCCCCCAAGTTTCTGCCTTGCTGTTAGTCCCCCCACCACTCTTCTATTTTGCGAACTCCCTCCCTCTCCTCCTCCTCTGCTCCCTCCCTCTCCCCCCCCTCTGCTCGCTCTCTGCTTGCTCCCCTGGCTCTCAGTGCTCATGGCAGGACCGGCAGTACTTAGACTTGCGCCGCCGGCACTTAAACTAACACCGCCAGCACTTATAGAAGTACCACTAACGGGTTTCTTTTCTTGCAAACGATTATTTTCAAGTCTAACTGCTGTTGCTGGCTTTACCCCTTCTCCTGCTCCTGCTCCTGCTCCTGCTGCTACCCCTGCTCCTGCTCTTACTCCAATATCAGTGTTGGCCTTAATCACTCCCTGTTTAGTGGCATCCGCTACAACCACATCCTTCTCCTTTCGCTTCACGCCCCTCCTCTCCCCCTGCTGCTGCTGCTGCTGCTGCTGCTGCTGCTGCTGCTGCTGCCCCTGATTCCGCTGCAGCTGAAGCTGCTCCAATGCTGCTCCTGCTGCATCAACACCGGGAACAACGGCTGCTCCATTCCCAACCACCGGCGCAGCATCATCAGCAGCAGCAGCTGCTGCAACGACGGCAGTAGAAGCAGCATTCGCAGCAGCAGTCACAGTAGCAGCACCAGCACCAGTACCGGTACCAGGACCAGCAGCAGTAACCACAGCCGCAGCAGAAGCAGGGGCGCCAGGAACAGCAACAGGGTTACCAGCAGGAGCACCTGCGCCCACTTGTTTCCCTTTGCCTGCCAGTCTCTCCGCCTCCCTAAGAGCTGCTGCCTTGATAGCACTCAGAGGCGCAAACGGAGGAGCTGAAGCAGCTTTACCTCCTCCGCTTCCTCCTCCTGCTCCTGCCCCTGCGCCTGCCCGTGGCCTTTCTCCTTTGCCTGCCGATTTCCCCTCCACTGCTTTATCCCCATTTCTATCTCCCTTCTCTCCTCCCTTACCTCCTGGTGTTCCTGCCTTATCGTAAGTCTTCCTAAGAGCAGCATTAAGAAGATTAAAGCCGCGGGTGCCTATGTCCTTAGGACTCTCGGGTGCCTCCCCACTACTCTCCTCACTCTCTCCCTCACTCGGTTCCTCATTCTCTCCCTCACTCCACTCCACACTCATCGCCTCATTCTCCCCTTCCACACTCTCTCCCGCCTCACTCCCCACCTCTGCATCTCCCATTTCCCCGATTTCTCCCCTTTTGCGCCCTCCCCCCAGGCCAACCCTCAACCCCGTTAAACCCTCAACCCCTTTTAAACCCTTTCCCCCAGCTTTCTCCCCTGTGATCTGCGAAATCTCTTTCCCTGCACCTTCCTCGACCCCCGCTTCACCTTCCCCTTCCGCCTCCGCCTTCTCTTCTCCCTCCCTTTCCCCCTCCCCTTCTTCTTCGTGTTCCCCCTCCGCCTCCACTATCCCCCGTGCCCGCATATGCGCCTGCTCCAGCTGCGACAGGCGCTGATCTTCCGCCCCTCCAACTTCCGCCTGTCCGCCTTCCGCCTTCTTCCCCCGTACGGTCGCCTCAAACTCCGCCTGCTCGCGGCTCAATCCCGACTCCAGCCGCTGCTGCGCCGCCTGCACGGGGAAGGGGGGAGAGGGCGTGGGGGGGGGAAGGAGGGGGGAAGGGGGAGTACATACAAAACAATAGTTGACTCATTAGTGTTTATCGCTTCAGAGGCATACGCTGGACTGACTCGTAGCAAGGGCTTCAGTAAGATCCTGAATTCAATGATAGAGAGGCATACGTTTGCTTGACGTACCTCCACCGCTTTAGTCACGCTCTTTAAGAACGGCCCTTGCGGCTTGCGCTGATAATCCCGCGGATGCGCCTCGCGAAGCTTTAACGCAACTTCTTCCACGGTCACGTAGTCGTTATCGGCCAATATCTTCTCGACACGCGTCACCAATTGCGGATCCATGATGTAAACATTTCCTGGTCGGGGTTTAGCGGAATTCGCTAGTGGAATTCCCGTTTGTGGCATATTCGTTTTTGTAGAACCCTGTGGAGCCGCGGGACGTCCGGGATTTGGGGAATGGTGCGGAGACTGCTGCTTTCGACGCTTCGACTTTGCCATCGTGTAATAACGAGATGTGTAATAAAAGAGTTTTGTTGTTGTTAAACGTTTAATGACACGTGGCCTTCACGTTGCAGACAGAGTATCTAACGATGCTGCTACCCGTTCAGCAGCACGTGACCGTTACGGAAGCTCCAGAATCGCAAAATGTTAATGATCGCGGTTCCACCGCCACTACTTCCCGAACTGGGGTCGCAACTAGTACAAGAAGTCGTCTGGAGCCGCGTTCACCTAAAACCGGGAAACAAGGGACCCGGTGTAATCAACAACAATTTGCGACAAGAGGGAAGTGGGAGGCGAAAGGGTGTAAGCTTGGATGAGTGGTGTGAGGCCTGGTGGTGGTGGAGGTTTCGACCTATCACCTCCGAGAGTTTCAAAGGGTACGAGGGTTTGGGTTTGGTAAATTCATATGTATTCTGGTGTTAGATTCAGAAGCAGAGGCGCACTGAACGAGTCGTGAGGGCGTGTCACACTTTAGATGCTGGACCTCGTGCCACCTCTCTGGAAGTCGCGGCTTGGCAGGCTAACCGTTCGTAAACACACAGAACCAGGCTCAACCAGACAGAATATTGTCTGACGAAGCCCCATTCAATTGTGGTTGGGGTGGGTGACAGTGTCAGAAACGCTAGGTTGGGTAGGTCGCGTGTGCTGCGGCAGCCGAGGCGTGGGACAGGTGTGGTGGTGACACAAAGTCCAGCATTTGTGACAAAGTGTCGTTCCTTTTTTGGACTCGATTGGTTAGAAATCAAGACCAATCGCTACTTGGCTGGGGAGAATTGCTTGGAAAATCGTTGGCTGAGCTCTATTATTGGCTGGTGAGCGTGGCACTTAACGGAAGCAGCCAGTCAGAGATTCTGAAACCCAACGGAACTCGGTTCCTTCAGGCCAAATTTTCCGTATTCGACGGCTACTTCTTATGGAAACGACGACGCAGAACTCGAAGATTCTCGACACTGGTGTTTCACTCTGGCGGTCTGATAAAACACGCCCTAGCACATCAGCATCACATCCTCTTTTGATGTTGGATGGGACTGTTCCGAGTTAGAAAGAAGTCGTTGAATTTCACTGGTCATTGGATGGATTTTTTACTACATCACAAGAAGGTATCAGGCAATTGCCCTATGACTGTTGTTGATGCCGGCCAGTGATGTTTGAGGAATCCATAATACCAGCTGCTCCTCCTGAATAGAAGCTTGAAGCTTCTATTCTCACGCGATTTTTCCGCTCCGCGGGAAATGTAGGAAGTAATTCTCGTGGACAGTCGTCCTGGTTCAATGCTCGCTGCTCTTTATCACGCCGTGTTCCGTAGAGTTTCCGACGCGTCTTTCGATTGTGTCTTTCCGCTGCCTGAAACGCATTCGTTAACACCACTTCATGTGTTACCAACACCTTAGTTTTCCTTCGGTTATTATTAGTCATGGCAGACGCAGCTTGCAAGAAGTCCGTGGCCCGCGTTATTATCAGTCGTGGTCAATCAGAAATATTCATGCTGGTACTTCTGGTGTTTATTAGCCCGCTATCATCGGTCACGGCGTCACCGCACCATCCGTCCTGGTCGAGCCGGAATGTTCTGCCAACTGACGGCCGTCAAGTTCCGTCTGACGCAGCCAGCGTTCGAGGGACGGAGTTACCGGCCGCCGTTAGTGAAAGAAGACGGCCAGAATTAGTCATTGGTAGCGATTGGACGCCGACCAGAAGCTTCAGTGGAACTTACCAGCCGCTGAGCAGTAGTAATCCGGCAGGGAGTTACCGGTCGTCAACTGGTGGTTACCGGCCGTTAACTAGTAGTGCTGGCAGTCGACTGCCGGCAACTCGTGACCCGCTTTTGGAGTTGATTCTGCCGTGCGAGGAATGGGAGGGGTGTGACTGGAATGATGTGACTGAAACGGGGGGGGAAATAGAGTTGGAGCAGGGGAAAGGGTTGGGAAATGGGCTATCCGAAACGGCTCTAGACCAGCACAAGGAGGGATTGAGGCTCGGAGAGACGGACGGCGGAGATGAACCCGAGGAATCAGGGCTGGGTCGGATGGACGGCGAGGATTTGCGGAATGGTGATGGTGGGGGGAAGAATTTCGCTCAACATCGTGGGGGTGTTGAGTTGAATGCGGGGAAAGCGAGAGGTTTGGTGAGTGGGGAGGAGTTGGAGAGCAAGGGGGAGAGAGAGGAGCTTGAAATGAGTGGTGCTGATGGGGAAAAGAAGGAGGAGAAAAATGAGGAGGAGGAGGCGGAAGAAGGTCAGGAAGAGGAGGAAGGGGAGGCAGAAGAGGAAGGGGAAGAGACTGAGGAAGATATTATCGAGTCTCTCCTTAGGGAGGTTGATGAATGGAAGGGAGACGAGAGTGGTCAGTTGGAATGGCAGGGGGGTATTGACCGCAGGGTGAGAGAGGGCACGGGGGTTAGTAGAGTTCGCAAGCAGAAAGGGGGGAAGAGCAGTAAATTGGGGACGGTGAGGGAAGTGATGGAAGCGAGGGGAGTGAGCGGAGGAGTGAGTGGAGTTCCCAAGGAGGTGAGAAGAGGCGGGAGGACGGCGAGACGAAGGCTGGTGGACGGATGGATGGCAGGGCTGCCGGAGAATACGGAGAGAACATCGATTGAAAGGCCAAGGGCAAGGAGAGGAAAAGGTGGAAGAAGGAGGAGGAGGCTGGTGGATGGGTGGGTGGCTGGACCGCAAGAGAAAGGAGAGTCGGCGTTTCGGTGGCGGAACGAGGTGGGAGACGAGGAGGAGATGCTGACTCAGCACCACGACAGCTACCAATGGCAGTGGCCCGTGGCGCGGCTGGGCGACAGCTGGCGCGGCATGTTCATGCGGGAAGCCCGATATGACATCGCGGTAAGCGCTTAATTAAGTGGAGTGTTTTAGCTAGGGAGAGGCTGCTGCTTCTGGCTCGCACCACAGCAGCAGCAGGTGCAGCATGTTTCTGCGAGAAGATCGATATGACATTGCTGTAATACTTAGTTAAGTGCTGCTGTTGCTAGTGGAGAGGTTGTTGTGGCCGACAGCTGAAGCAGCACGCTCGTCCGAGGAGCCTGGTTCGGTGCGATGAGCTCTAAGTGAGTTGTTTAGTTAGGAATATGCTGCTGCTGCTGACTCGGCAGCACTAGAACGGCTAATGCTCAAGTGGAAAGGGCTGGTGGAGTGTTGTTGGGCGACAGCTGGCAAGCCATGTTTAGGTGGGGTGCCTGGTTCGGCATTGTTGTATGTAAGTGAAGATGCCTACAACTCCACTTCACTTACAACGAGTGAAGATGTCCCTAAGGTAGTGTTGTTGAACCAGCACTGGCTGGTTTCCAAAACCCCCTCATCCCTACAGAACATCCACTCATGTGAATGGGCCAGCCTCCTACTCTTGCAGAACACCTCCTTGTAACATAACAGGGCATTCTCCCCGCTACAGCTGACTTCAACCTCTTCATAATTGGTCCCAATGTTTGGATGGTGTAGTCGGTTATCACGCCAGTCTCACACACTGGAAGTCTCCGGTTCGATTCCAGGTTCAGACAGACATCGCTTTTCGTTTTCTTCCGTTTCTCCGCTTCGTTGCATCGATGCATTGACAGGGAGTCATTACAAGCCAACACGTGGATTTGAGACGTCTCAAAATGGCATTACAAGCTAACACGTGGATTTGAGACGTCTCAAAACGGCATTACAAGCTAACACGTGGATTTGAGACGTCTCAAAACGGCATTACAAGCTAACACGTGGATTTGAGACGTCTCAAAACGTCATTACAAGCCAACACGTGGATTTGAGACGTCTCAAAACGTCATTACAAGCCAACACGTGGATTTGAGACGTCTCAAAACGTCATTACAAGCCAACACGTGGATTTGAGACGTCTCAAAACGTCATTACAAGCCAACACGTGGATTTGAGACGTCTCAAAACGTCATTACAAGCCAACACGTGGATTTGAGACGTCTCAAAACGTCATTACAAGCCAACACGTGGATTTGAGACGTCTCAAAACGGCATTACAAGCTAACACGTGGATTTGAGACGTCTCAAAACGGCATTACAAGCTAACACGTGGATTTGAGACGTCTCAAAACGGCATTACAAGCTAACACGTGGATTTGAGACGTCTCAAAACGTCATTACAAGCTAACACGTGGATTTGAGACGTCTCAAAACGGCATTACAAGCTAACACGTGGATTTGAGACGTCTCAAAACGTCATTACAAGCCAACACGTGGATTTGAGACGTCTCAAAACGGCATTACAAGCAAACACGTGGATTTGAGACGTCTCAAAACGTCATTACAAGCCAACACGTGGATTTGAGACGTCTCAAAACGTCATTACAAGCCAACACGTGGATTTGAGACGTCTCAAAACGTCATTACAAGCTAACACGTGGATTTGAGACGTCTCAAAACGGCATTACAAGCTAACACGAGGATTTGAGACGTCTCAAAACGGCATTACAAGCTAACACGTGGATTTGAGACGTCTCAGAACGTCATTACAAGCTAACACGTGGATTTGAGACGTCTTAAAACGGCATTACAAGCTAACACGTGGATTTGAGACGTCTCAAAACGTCATTACAAGCCAACACGTGGATTTGAGACGTCTCAAAACGGCATTACAAGCAAACACGTGGATTTGAGACGTCTCAAAACGTCATTACAAGCCAACACGTGGATTTGAGACGTCTCAAAACGTCATTACAAGCTAACACGTGGATTTGAGACGTCTCAAAACGTCATTACAAGCCAACACGTGGATTTGAGACGTCTCAAAACGTCATTACAAGCCAACACGTGGATTTGAGACGTCTCAAAACGTCATTACAAGCCAACACGTGGATTTGAGACGTCTCAAAACGTCATTACAAGCTAACACGTGGATTTGAGACGTCTCAAAACGTCATTACAAGCCAACACGTGGATTTGAGACGTC